CCAAAAGATGCTAACTTGACAGAAATCGAGAAATTTTAATTTTGGCTCCAGATTATGGATATTGATTGTTTGATACGAAATGCACCCCGCCGATCATTAATCATAGTCTTTCCCTTACTCACGGATTACGAATTAACAATTAATTTGTGTCTATTAGTATTGTGTTGCTTATGTATAGTAACTTAGTCACTAGTAGGTAGGCTAGTTTTATTAGTAGAGTTTGCTTGTATAATATTGTGATATAGTAAAAGTCGTATTTTGTTAATTAGCAAACTCTCGATATAAGATATATGAAGATTTTTTTTATAACGTATATAACAAAATGTCTCGCGTTAACCGTATTACACAAATGCGTTAGTATGCGTGTTTTTTTACAAGTTTAGGGCATTGACCAATCAATGAATCGAACATGTGTCGGGAATTAAGTTTTAATTAGCGGAAAGTATTTTTAATCAATAAAACGAGCTTAATTCATTGCGTCAAAAAGAAAATTTAAATAACGAAAAAATAATTAGAGTTTTTCATTTTAGTCAAAAACTTTATGCCCTGAATTACCTTTCATTACACTGGCTTATCAAAACTTATAATTATTAAAATAACTAGAATTAGGCCAGACAAGTTATTTAACATCTCTATTAGCCACACAGGTAATACTAACCAAAAAGAATTTTTTGATATAATTGTATAACCAAGATTGTTATTAACTAATATAAACATGTATTAATTTTATTTTGGTTTTATATAAATAAAAATAATTAGAAAGCAAAAAAATTTATACTTCAAAGAAGTAAATAAAGTAAATTCTAATAATAAAGCAGCATGTTGTAACAAATAAAACTATTTTCCAAATGTTTTTTATACCCAAAAGTTCTTGAATAAATACAAAAGGTAATAATAGTATAAATAGAACACAAAATACGCCTACATTTAAACTTCTAGAAATTTCAATGCAAATATGTTATATGGTTTTGATATAAAGTTTGAAATTGTGTTTGTAAGATATAATGGAATTTCTCCTATAAAATAAAATACAATTAACGCGAAATTTAAAATTTTGACTTAACAATAAGATGCTAACTCCTGAATTCTTTTTAAAGCTACACTTTCTCTAGAATTAAAATCCTCAAATGCTAAAACTTCATATTCTTTAACAGTAAACTGGCATAAATTAGTTATTTTACAATAATAATCAGTACGTTTACTGGTCCAATGATATGATTGCATGCATAAATCGAAATTTCCAAAACAGGATCCATGATATTTATCACTCCAAATGGCCTTGTCATTTTGTCTTACAATTACTCTACTTAATATTGTGTTTGATTGGTTAGTAAATGAAAAAATAAAACTATCTGAAGTTTTATTAATATATGGTATCTCATTTAATCTAAAATATCCATTATAAAATTCAATAGCGTTGGTAAATTTACCCCAACTTGTAGGATTATATCCGCCTATTAATTCACCTGTCTCTTGATTCTCAAGTATTGTAATAGTTGGACCTTGAAAATCACATAATTCATGAAATGTACTAATATCAAAACCATCTCTACTCCCACGCAATAAAAGTTTAAGCTTATAAGGATCCGTAATCCATGTATAGTAATCATTATCTTTTCTATCAATCCAACTTGAAATTATAGTTTTATTCGTACCAAAAAGTAATCTGGAACATCCTCTATGAAAGGTTTTATACTTACTAAATGCATTAGGATCTAAACGATATTGCTTAATTTGTTCATCAATATAACTTTTAGGAATATGATAATAACGAATCAATGGGATACATTGAGAAATTGTTTCTTTTAATGCCATGAATTGATCGTCAGACCAGCTTGAAATATCTTCATCAGACCATTTTGTGATATTTTTATCAAGAAGTTTTTTAGAATTAGCAATCCCCCATTTAATCAAATAATTCCAAATTTCTATTTCTTCAAGTCCAAGATCATCTCTTTTTAAAAGACATATCATAGCAACAATATTTAATAATGGAAAGTCATTAGAATCCAAAAGTGAATAAGGATTTCTACAAGTAATATCCAGAACATGATCGTATAATTTCTGGTAATGATTATGTTTGCAAGTAAAATTAAGTGAAGTAATAGATTAGAAGATAGCCATAAAGAGTGTTTTTTTATTAAGTGTTCTTGTACACATTCCGCAAGATTAAGAAGCTCAAGTTCATCAGCTGCAGCTATTAAATTTAATAAATTTTCACCACTTGTTTGCAACATAACTTCTTCCGTGTAAATATAACTTATAAATTATTAGAAAAGATTCTATTAGGTTATAATTATTGTAATAGATATATAATTAAATAAAGTATAATACTCACTCAAGAATTATTTCAAAAGTAGAAGGAAAAATATTTGGCTTTCTAAACACGTAAAAACCATGTTCCTTGTTCATCCATCGTTCAGACAAAGCCCTGCCAGGAACGGAGTGATGAATATCACGGAGTGTATGGTTATACGGCAATTCAAAAGATGTTACTGTGCAAAATCTGGAACATGATTGGTCAGCATGACCAAATATGTCACGTATCGAATATTTTGCACCTATTGAACGTCACGCCTTCTGCATTGGATTTGTTGGATTAAATAGTTTGCTTTTTGTGGGATAGTAAGATAATAATATTGTAAATTAATAATGTATATAATACATCGGTGGTCGCAGTTCAAATCTACCCCAGTGGCACCGATGAATTTTCACTGATCGACAATTTTTTTAAAGTCATAAAACGCTATATTAGGGTCAGGTTTACAATTATAACAAGACTTGTTTTAAACCAAAATTTCACAAGGAATTTTTTTTACTAATGCGCAGAAGGTGGTTATATAGACGAAATTTCGAGTTACAGCAGGTTTTTTTAAAAAACGTTATATTTTGTTTTGATTTCGCATTACACCTGATCTTGCTATCTAATTGGTCAATCGCTGTCGATCAGTGAAAATCTGTCGGTGCCACTGGGGTAGTTCGCAGTTCAACTGACTTAATAGTTATGGTTACGAACTTGTTTGTAATCCTGATTGTGTGAGGCTGTGTGAAAATTTATATAAATAATGACGATTTTAACGTTAACCAGGGTTTACAAATTTAGCGTTGACCTTCATGTATAAGTAGTTTTTTTAGATTACAAAATCATTAGATATACAGTTGGGTCTACGATAAATATGTAAACTCCAGAATTGTTCTGTAAATAATATGTATTTGGTCACGTGAATTATATTACTAATAATTTATGCATACTTATTATAATTATGGTGATGACTTTGAAAAGATGGTCTATATGACAAATGTTTACCTATTGCAATATTGCGAATATATGAATAGTGATAAATATATGCAATTTTTAAAACTCGAATTATGTTAAAAGAAAAAAAAAAAACAGCTTTCATAAACTTTATCTATTGCGGCAAATGTTCTAAAATATTAGTAGTATAAATACGCATATCAACATAAGGTTAATGAAAAAAGAAAATTTGCGTTTGTTAAAAAATAAAAGGCGACAAATCTGCTGTTCACGGTAATCTCCGTTGCATGCATGAATAAAACCAAATTGTTGCTATCTTGAACATACGAAGTCAATATCTTGTTTGTTTGTGGTTAGTATTCTATTTTTGGTAATCGATTTAAAGTAAAAAATGCCACGATTACTGGTGCATATACGTACGATCACATGAAATGTGTGAGGGATGGTTTGAATAGGGAATTGCTACCGACACAACAAAACACGTGCTTATCGACACAGCAAGTGACCAGCACTAACCTTAACGACAC